TGGTCATTTGTTGTAATTTAATGTATTTATTATTAATAGGTAAACCAGAAACTCCTTGTCTGTGTTGAAAATAGAACTCTGGTTGCTAAATAAATGAAAATGTTCAGTGGGCTTTGGGAAATTGAGAGACATCATTTACATTGGGGCAAGATTTCTGAATATAGACCCAGATGCTTATAATTTTCAAGTTAAATGAACTCTTTCTAAATAATCAAATCTCATTTGTAAATTTTTTTAATTTGAAAAGTAATGCCTTTTGACCACATAGGTCACCGATAAGTGTAAAACCGTGATAAAGTTGGGATCTGGGTCCAACCACATTCAATGGACTCCTGTGAACCAGGGTGGAGACCTGGTTGGACAGCAGTACGGCAAGACCTGGGTACTCCAAGACCCACAGGAAGTGGCATGGTCACAGAGTACTAAAGTGGAGAGTGAAACATCCAACTGATGTGAAGTTAGGGGAGATACACAGGAACACCCACACTAATAGTACCCACTTGACCTGGCTTCAATGGCTGGATGATCAGAACTCAACTAGAAGAAGAAAGAAGGGGGAAAAAAAGAGTAACACACTACAATTTGATGAACTTTACCTATACGTATGGTTGTGTTGTTGTTGTGAAGTGTCATTGAGTCGATTCTGACCCATAGCCATGCTGTATAGGGTTTCCAAGGAGCAGCTGGTGAGGTTGAACCGCAGAGCTTGCAGTTCAAACGACTTTGCAATCTGGTGCATTAACCCACAGCACCACACCAGGACTCCTACTTATGGATGTTGTTGTTGTTATGTGCTGTGGAGAGTCAGATGTAGTAGCTCAAAAAAGGAAACAAATCTTTACAGCAAGGATCATTCCCACCCCCTTGGTACACAGGGTTGACAAGGATGGGCAACTTGGACATTGGCTGCCCAAAATGGGGTGGGAAAAGGTAGAATCTCCACTGAATGGTTTCCAATCTGTTGGGATGGGGCTAATAAAAGGAGGTGAGGATAAGACTCTTGCAGTACAATAGTGAATAATTGCTGTCAGGACTGACTGTGAGGGTCAGAAATGAAAAGGTAGATATTTTGTAAAAAAAAAAAAAAAAAAGGAGGGGAGTGATTGATTTTGCAGCCCAGGAGCAGAGGTCCCTGGCACCATCAAGTGAGAAGAGTGGAGTGTGGGACTCTACTCAGGGAAGCAGTGATGCCAGAAATGGAGGCAGAGACAATGAAGCAGACAGACGGAGTGGCTGGGACAAGGGACTAAGGGAAGGAGAAGGGCTGTGTGCTGATGGCCAGGGGGTAGGCTTGCTGGGTGTACCCTTTGGTTGTTTGATGATGCATGGAGGGGATTGTAATCATTGTAATGAAACGAAATACAATAGGTTGAATGTAAAACTGATGTTCTTCCATGTAAACCCACATAAATCACAATAAAAAGTTAAAAAAAAAAAAAAGGTAATGCCTTTCAAGGTCAAAATTAAGACTAGGTCACTTAGAAACTCTGACCAATTTTGGTACCACACATACTCTAAATGCATGAAATGCTAATGTTATAATTGCTATTCATTCTTCTAGCTTATAAAACCCTGTGCTACTAAAATCTAAGGCCAGTCACAAAAAAGGACACGTTGCATTTTTATTTTCCTAATTCAATGCAAACAGTAGGAGGAAACCTAAGATCAATTCAGTCATACGAGATAATGGGTAGTTATTGACATTTCAAATAATTCAGATAACTATTTACAGGAAAACATTGTGAAGTGTGTTCCATAAAACTCACAGATGCTACATCATTCACATTGCTTTACTTTTGTTTATTTTAAGTGTCTCTTGAAACAGAAATATCAAGGAAAAATATAACTGAAAGAAAATGAAATTTTTCCATGAACTTTTCCCTGTGACATATAGTAAAAATCGAACTGTTTTTATTTATTTCATTTATTTTTAGTGTTTCAGTTATTGTTTCTCCTTTGCTCTCAAATACCTTGTAATGGTACTATAGAAAAAGCACTGAATTGCTAACTGAAAGGTCAGCAGTTCCAACCCACCAGGCACTCCTCAGAAAACAAATACATGGTTTCAGAGTCAAAACAGACTCCATGCCATTTAATAAAAACAACAATACCTTGTAAAGGATATTTGGTACAAAAAAACAAAAAGTTATTAACTAGTTGTTGGAGCTATTGGAATATTTCTTATAATACTTCACCAACTCATATATCCATATATCCTTTGTTGGTCTGCTAACCACAAGGTCAGAAGTTCAAATTCACCAGCAGCTCCATGAGAGAACTATGGGGTTGTATGCTCCTATCAAGATTCACAGTCTTGGAAACCCTATTAGAATTTTCTCAATCTTAGTGGAGTTTGGGGTTTTATTAAAAATGATCCAATCATAAAATGAACTTTAGAATCCAGATGAATATAGTTTAGCCAGTAGTCTAAAAACAGTCAACATTTCACATTGTTTAGAAACTAAATATCTATTACTTGCATTCATCAAAGTCAGCACAAGGTAGTGAGCATATTATAGATTTAGCCTAGAGTTGATTGGCCAATACATCGAAAAAAAGAAAGAAAAAAAAAAAATCTTGCTAAGATTCTTTAAATAATATCTAGGAAAGTGAGAAATACACCAGATACCTATTGTCCCTTGTTGTGCCTCCTTTTTCTGACTTTAATCCAACCATTTTACCCCATAATCTATAACCTTAGCCACATAAAGTCTGGTCCAAGTACTTACAATCTAAGTTTGAGCAAAAAAGTTTGGTAGAAATGCAAAATTTCATCTTCCATGCAAACCAACTAAATCAGAATCTACTTTTTCAAAAGATTCTCAGTTGATATATATGATCAGTTATATGTGAGAAGAACTCACTTTCCTCAATAGAGCTGCATTTAAAAACTCATAAATAGATAAATAACATAATACTACTGATAGCTAGTATAGCATCATGTGGCCTGATGTAACTGACTGATGTACATATAAATCAGTCTTTTAAAATACATTTTTTGAGTATACATTAGCTTTCTACTGCTGTCATAACAAATTACCATAAACTTAGTTGTTTGAAAAAACAAAAATGTGTAACTTTATTCTGCTGTAGGTCAGATGTTCGACAACTATCTCACTGTGCTAAAATCAAGATTGTGCTATCTGCCATACCAGAGGAAAATAGTTGCCTTGCTCATCCCGATAATGAGCTTATCTGTTGCTCCCACTTGTAGGATTGAGGGAGTTCCATGCTTGTTTGTTGTCTATCAGCTAAATGGACCATCCGCAGTTTTTAAGGACTGTTTTCAATTTCTGGAATCCTGGTGTGGCACTATAGGATAAACACTGGACTGCTAATTTCAAATTTGGTGGTTCACACCCATCATTTGCTGCTTGGCAACCTTATACAGGGTCACTATGAGTTGGAACCAACTCGATAGAATTTAACAACAATTTCAATTTCTGACTGTTAGCCCTCTTTCTGTTATCAAAGCTGCCAATGGTGTATCATGACTTTCTCCCCTTTAAATCTCTCTTTTTTTTTTTTCTGTCACATTTCTCTCACCCATATTTTTGCCATTTTATTTTGCTTTTAATGACTTGTATGATTTGAGTCCTCGTGTGTCACTGCCAGATAATGCACTGGACCACAAAGTCAATTTGAACAGCAAGGTCAACAGTTCAAACCCACCAACTGCACCTCAGAATAACACTAGACAGGGTGACTATGAGTTGGAAGTGACTCAACAGCACTCAACAACAACAACAATGATTTAACTGAAACTGTCAATGGCCTCAAGCCTAACAACTGTGAGAATGGTGCAGGATCATGCAGTGTCTCATGCTGCTGTTTTTAGGGTTGCAATGAGTCAGAAGCAACCTGAACACACCTAACAACAACATCATGTTAATCAAGTCCTGTTGTGTCACTGCAGAATAAGCACTGAACTGCTAACCACAAGGTCAGTAGTTCAAACACACCAGCCACTCTTGGAAACTGTATTATAGAGGGTCGCTATGAATATGAATCGATTCCATGGTACACAAAATCAACATCTTGGCAATCAACGGTGCCTTGGTGGACTTGTGCTAACCATAAGATTCGTAGTACACATCCACTAGCTACTTCTCAAGAGAAAGATGAGTCTTTCTGCTTTTGTAAAGATTTATAGCCTCAGAAAACCTACATAGGGTCCGTGTGAGTTGGAACCTACTTGAGGGCACACAGCAACAACATCATGATAATCAAGCATAAACTGCCATCTCAATATTTTTAATCTAATTATGCCTGTAGTTACTTTGTCATGAAAAGTAGCATATCCCCAGGTTTAGTTTTTTGAGTGTGGGAATCTTTGGGACATGGGGGGCATTATTTTGTCTTACGTAGAGTTATAAAAAGTTTTGAGTAACTGATTTCATATTCAATCCTTATATAAGTGAGTCAAAGAAATCTCTAATAACATAATTTCTTTTATTTTGATTTGTATTAGGGTAAGTTAGGATAGATTGGACAAAACCTTTGATTTAGCTGAGATGTTCTCTTGATAATATACATTTAAATACAATGTATTTTTAACAGCCTCACTGTATTCACTTATATTCATAAAGGACCGGACACATTTCCTTGTTTGCTTGTTTTATTCTTTGTTTAATGGTGTTTTGACTCTATCAAGTAATAATTACTGATTGTCTATTATTTCTCAGGCACTGAAATAGTCCTGATAGGATAAATGAATAAGATGCAATTTAAAAGTTCACTTAAAAGTGGTCACAAGGATCCATGAGTACCAGTAATAATTAAACTGTGCATAATCATGGTCTAGAACAATGGAAGTAGTTAAAACAAATTGTTTAAAAGACAATTCTATTAAAAAATGCAAATAAGTGTATTAATTATCATCCTACAGATTATTCTGTCTTTTCCAGGTCATTGTGTAACTTGTCTATAATTTTAAGGAATAATAGAAATGCTAATAACCATAAGACATTGCTGGGGCTTATGAGTCTGTTTTCTGCTAGATACACTGTGGACCGGCACACTGATATGGACCAGACTTTTAGTATCCATTCTGAAAATGGCTCTATTTTCACGTTGAAGTCTCTTGACAGGGAATCATACCCTTGGCACAACATCACTGTGACAGCCACAGAAATAAGTAAGTTGGAGATAAACCCATTTGGGCACATTCACTGAAGAGGTTAAAAAATGATATTAAGTAGACTCCTTTTCTTGAATGTGATAATATAATCAAGAAAATCTATGATAAATAATTTAGAGTGTGTTAGATTTTCATAGTATTATAATTCTTATTAAATTATTCATTTATTTTAAACCTGATTCTCTTTCAACTTTACTGTAAAATAGAAATATAACTAAACTTCATAGAAATAATTATTTTGCTTAAGAACATTATCTGCTGTAACTGATACTTATGTTTAGACCTTTGTTCACAATCACATGCTTCTGTATTCTTTGTTGCTTTCTATTTGGACCATTTAAGCAAGCTGTGGTATTCTTAAGCAATCCATTCCAAGTGACCACCACAGAAACGATTAGTTGCTAAGTTACAAATGGTGTGAATGACAACACCGTTTATCTGTAAATGATGCTGAAATCTTACACATGTTCTCTTTGCAGATAATCCAAACCAAAGTAGCCAAATTCCTGTTTTCATCAGAATTTTAGATATAAATGACCATGCACCAGAATTTGCCACATACTATGAAACATTTGTTTGCGAAAATGCAAAGCCTGGTCAGGTAAATAAAATTGTTATAAACAAGTTTGACATTTTCTCTCTAAAAGTAGATGTTGTTATTGTTGTTAAATGCCATTGAATATGTTCTGATTCATAGTGCCACTATATAGGGTTTACAAGGAGCAGCTACTGACCTTGTGGTTCACAGTCCAATGTTGATCCTATAGTCCCACACTAGATGAGATTGCATTAATTTATTTCTACTTTTTAATTGCAGACTATTGTCATTCATCCTTGTCTTCGCACTACCTCCCCTTACTAAAAACCCTATAGTGATTTTTATAAAGACCTCTTAAAAAGTTTTTATTCTGGAATCCATGATACATCAGAAAAACTCGCATCATGGGTTTTAATTAATATACTGGGCATATAAAAGATATCACACATATGAAAAGCCTAATTACTAAATCATTAGGCTATTGCTGAGTTATATTCTTGAGTAGAGGAGAAATAAATTATCAAATAAAACATGAAGAATATAATTAGTAAATTGCTCCCCATTAATACAAAGGACACCACTATTCTGTTGATTCCATTTTCATATATCTAATGGTTCTATCAGAGTCCTGGTGTGGCACTGTAAGATAAGCACTGGACTGCCAACCACAAGGCTGAATGTTCTAACCAATCAGCTACCCTGTAAGTTGGAACTGACTTGAGAGCATTTCACGGTAAAAACAACAGCAATATTTTAAGCAAGCTAATATGCATACTCTCAAAATATGATTAAATAATTTCTGGTATAATCTCTTCAATAATACATTTTTTACAATAAAATAAAATATTGGTTTTGATTTTAAATATCACTACAAATTAGATTAATTATTTGTTACTCAGAATGAGGAGGTAAATGAGGAAAAAATATTATATTTTATATATGCTTTAATTTTCTAATGATAAATATTATATCAAATTTATTTGTACAACTTTTTTCTCTCAGCAGTGTGTTAAAAAAAAAATAAAGCTATATGTCACTCTGTCAATAAAAAGAATAATATATTAAATATCAAAATCACTTTCATGAATATGCAGAGTGATACAGTTGAAGAAGAGATGCAGTAACTGAGACAACGGCTAGATTAAAGTATACAGTAAATTTCAAATACGTGTTTACCACACTTTGAAGTCTCTTGACAGGGAATCACACCATTGGCATGTTGTTGAATGATTACACCTGGAAGTGTTGTGACTGTTTATTTTTGTAGATGAGAAATCTGAAAGTAAAGGGGATTCAATGACAGTGATTTCACATCACACAGATGGCAGATACAGGACTAGAAAAAGAGGCACTCTGATGGGGAATTTTACTGTCTTTCCCTTGTAAAATGGAACTGTTGGCACAGCTATTGTTTGCTGCTCCAGCTTACACTGGGTTACACCTCTGACCTATATTAAGCATAGCTTTGAGACATTGTGATGTTTGAGCATTGATAATGCTGTCTTTTAGTAAGACTTATATAATAACCTAAATTTTATAAATACCACTGAGCAACTGATAAATACGATGTGAATCTGTAGGATAAGCCTTGGACTGCTAGACAGAAGGTCAGCAGTTCAAACCCACCTGTTGCTTCTAGGAAACCCTATACAGGGTCGCCTATTAGTCAGAATTGATTCACCAGTGCTTAACAAAACCAAGAGCAATATATATATATATGTTGTTGTTGTTGTTAAGTGCCGTCGAGTCGGTTTCGACCCATAGCGACCCTGAATAGGGTTTCCAAGGCTGTAAATCTTTACGGGAGCAGATCGCCTCATCTTTCTCCCGCGGAGCAGCTGGTAGTTTCGAACTGCTGACCTTCCGGTTCGCAGCCCAATTCGTAACC